GAACCGTGGAAATCAATTTTGACAGTCGCCAGGAGGGACACGCGCCGAAAAATTTTTGTCGAAATTATCTTAGTTGAGTAGATAACGAATGGACGAACTTTAAATTAAAAATGGTCAGGATCAATTCACGAAAAAAAATCGGCATCTTTTACATAGTCAATTGAATGAACTAAAGTATTATAAAAATACTCTGATATTATAGTAAATAGAGTAACTTTATGTACATCAAATATTTTATCAACAATTTTTATTGTCGAATTACTATAGTCATCTCTTACATCTTAAATATTGAAGAAGACTGTATTGATTACAAAAATCCAATTACAATATTCCCAGCCACAAAATCACGTATTCAATTATCGTACACTTTGAATATACTGTCTACATTGTTAAATAATTTCATCATAGTATTATCTTCGTTTTCCCACTATACAATGTCCCTTTGCCTTTATTCGTCGCGTCCACGTGAATTTGATTAATACGAAGTCATTAGTGAAGAACAATAAATATTCTTTCTTTTAATTATATTAATTTGAATCGCCGGGATGGATAACCGGTGGTTATTCTCGCCGAGCATAGTCTTTCATCGTAGTCTTTCGGCCGCGATCGATCGTTACAATTAAATTAATAAATCATATTGTTGGCCGGCAAACCGTTCGCTTTGTGTTGGCCTCATTATTCAATGAGGCCTTTATTAACAATATCGCGTTGCATATTGAATTGCACTCGACGAATTCCGGACCAGCACGGTACCAACATCAGCCTGGTCTGATTACGAAACGAACCAGTGATAAAATTAAAGGGCACAGGTCGCCCCCGCATTGGTCGTTTAGGCCGCGTAATTTTATTAATGAATTAAATTCCTCACACCGGTGAGAATTAAAAGGAACTCCCTTTCTCGTTGGTTCAATTCAATTTTTCATTCCATCAACCTCTTTTCTTTTTAAACAAATGAAACGACGATTAAAAATAATTAAGGGATAATTAATATTCGAAAATCCATGAAAGGAATTTAATTTCATTATCTCTTTTCAAAGATCTATAGGTTCGAATGAAATTTCGATGAAATTAATATGTAATACCAATTGTTCACAGATCAAAGCAACTAATTCCATATTTGAATATTTGAATATTTTCAAATCCTCATTTCGAAATATTAATCATTCAATAAGCTTCACTTAATCAAATTCTACTACACACATAATAATTATGTGTAATTATTAAATTCTAATTACCATTTAATTATCTACACGTATGGAACAAACAATACTTACTCCGATCCAAAACAAAAAATTCCTTTCTACAATCCACAATACGAAAAGAACAATCGCAGCGTTTTATTCGAACGGGAAATTCTTCAAAAAATCAACTGCTCGCGTCGTAATCGCGCGAGAAGCACGTTTAACGCGATTCCCGGAGCCCTTCATTTCCCGAGGTCCGTAAAACCACCGGAGTTCCCGTTCCCGATTGATCGTCACCGACGTCGAAACGTATGTCCGGGGGTTGGCGCGTCGTTGCGCGACGAGCGGCGCGTGTTCCGCTCGTGAAACTTCGTTATTTCGAAAGTTTTAACGCCCGGTGGCCCGCGCGATCCGTTTTATTCCCGCACCGCGCCGATAATACCGTACACACCGTGGCATTCTTTATCGAGCTGTGCCACGGATCGTATCTTTCCCGCGGCCCGCGGCTGGAAAAGTCGGACGGGCCGCGAATATCCGGGAAAAGTTGCCCGGTCTACGTGGAAACTCATTTTCCGCATCGACGGCCGAGCGAAATTGTCGCGATTTGCCTGCTGGAAAACGACCCGTAAAAATCTATGGCTGGGAAAGAGTTGTTCCCTCTTCCTCTTTCCCGTTCTCTGCCCCTTTCTCTGCCCGTTTCTGTCGCTGTTCCTCTTCGTTCGTCGGTTCCACTAGCGTTTCCCGTCGATCCGAAAAATGTTTCAGTATCTACGCTCTCCTCCTCCATCGACGCCGGTTCCGCGTCTCTCTTTCGAGCGAAAAATGCGGACAGCGGAGCAACCGGTGACCCATTCTGCGGGAACAAGGAAAATCCGCTTGTTTTGTCGCCGAGAAATGCTACTTGGTTTATGTACGGGCTTCGTTGGAACGGGTGGTTGATGATTGGAGTGAATGGTGTGAAGAGTGATTGCAAGGAGTGTTTTTGGTGAATATTTTTTAGAAAGCATTGTTTTTGATTATTGTGAAATAAAAAGTAAAAGAGATAAACAGAATAGAGATATAGAAATATATTAACACGTTAAGTGCCACCAAAATCTTGAGCGTCTTACGTAACACTTAATGTTTTGGAGTAAAAATAAGTAGGCACACTCATTAATGATTTGGCATCACAGTACTTGCATTACACTATTATTAACTTATGTTATTAAACATTTTTATTTAACCTTAGTAATCTTGCATATTATAATTGTTTTCAAGCAATTCAGAAGCGTCGGTTATCAGTGACTAACACGGCGCTTAACGTATTAACCGTAATCTTTTACAAGGAAACATATTTTCTATCTTTCAACTAATACTATACAAATATAATAATTTCTAATACATTACTTCTCTTATTTTCATTCTAGCAATCGAAACTTCCAAATCATTTTCGATCGTATTGAAATAAAACAAAGAAAGAAAAATCTCTTTCACCCTTCACGCTTTACCCTCGCCGCAAACTTCGAGCAAACAGACTCAACAAACACGGAGATCCGCCATTTTTCACGCCACAGCCGGCGATCGTAATGCCCGGTAACGGTTCCGGCGACCCAGTAACAATTCCGCGCCGCAATAATCATCGCATGCAAATTTCGCCGCGCGACAGCGTCCCATGAAAATGGATTTCGAAAGCCGAGTACCCGCGTCCCGTTTTGCATATTGGCTGGGTCGTTTCGCCCCCTCCCGCCAGCCCTGCCATCCTGTCGAACGGAGATCAAGGAAAGGCAGGGAAAAAGCTCGGGAACAATTGATAAAAAGTAGGGGGTGGGGAAGCGGTTAGGTGGGCCGGAGCGGGATAATAAATTGGCCGCGCGAAACGCGCCGCTTCAGCGTTTCAGAAGTTTCGAACCCTTCGGGGAACCGTTTCCGGGGCGTGTCGTCCTTGAAACTCGACAGTTCGCCTAAGGAGCGTAATTTTTACGTGGATCCGACTTCTTGCCGTCTGGAGATCCAACGTTTGTGTCGATATCTTCAAATTATCCCTCGATATTCTCGGTACAAAGGGTTGTATTCATAGAAAGGAGCAAAAGCTTTTGCTAGCGATTTTGTAAGTAGGGTTCTAAGATTTACTGGATTTTCTGGTAAATACAGAATTCGTATAACAGTTAGTATTTGCTAAGAACATTCAGTTAACCCATTATTGACCGGTCACTGGTTAACTCGTGGTTGCACTTGCATTAGCCATTTGAATTTTTGAAACGCAGGGCAATATAGAATATTACAAAAGATAAATATTAAAAGTTATATAAAAGAGATCTTCAATGTATTATTTCAATTTATTATGTACAAGTAAAGTATATCTAAGTTTATTTAAATTATTTCACTTTCATATTTAATTGAGGAATAATAAGCGATGACACACACAAGTTATTAAAACACTTGATTGCCTTTGTTTCTGTTGATTCTTTGTATTTACTTCAGATTTTCCGGCTTTTAGCGTCTAGCAATAGGAACACCAGTTGGAAAAGGATGCAATAGACACTACGAGAGTTCAATTACAATATATACACTTTTTGGTAATAAACGTTGGAGCAAAGGTTTGCGAATAATGAAAGAGGATTATTCTACAGCGCAGTGTTGCCCGTTCGTATTTGTGAACGGTCAAAGGAATTTTTGGACAATTGGGAGGACCGCTTTAACGATATTGGATTTTATTCATCTGATGCTTTGTGCATTGAATGAATACTCTGTTAAAATGATACGCATAGACAACGTAGATATGTATTTTTTCGTATTGTTCACTCTTAATTTGCCTATATACATATATATATATTTGAAATACTATTCTTAAGCTTCAAGATTACACGAATTGTAATTTTAATTGTACAAATAACATAGATTTTTCAATAATCAATTCAACCCCAAAACATTTCAAACACAAGCACCTCGAGATTCCAAATCATCATGAATAAAATCAACGCACAAACATTTCATATTCACATTTCAAATTCAAATCAAATTTAACACTAGAACAACCGCATTCGTCGAAGTGACAGATTTCAGTTTTCTTATCTCGCAATTATCATTGAAAGCGTGAAATATCCGAAATGATTTGAAAAATAAACAGTTTCACTTCAATACTATAATTTACATACAAAAAACAGATAAATCTATCGTTACAATTTTTATAAGAATTACATATTGATCGTATTAACTCTCGGTTGTTCCACTGTTAAAATCTTCGCGCTACTCGACATTACGAGCCTTTCCAAATCCAAATCATTTCAACAATAAATCGTTCAATCACAGGAACACGTGGAGCACAGCATATTTAACACCACCGTGAAAGCACGTGCCGGTGTATACAGTACCTACACGTGGTCAAATTTCTGCATGCTCACGCAATTTCGTGCCCGATCGGGGAAATCCATTAGGGGCTGAAAGCACGCTCTCATAGCTGGCGAAAGCTAGAGCGAAACAGGGGAAAAAGAGTTAGTCGATGCCTCTCTAATTCGTATTTAAGTCAACGAGTCACGAGTATTTCGGATGCCACGTTCTACGTTCGATTTATTTCCACGTTTATCCGACATTTGAGAAATAGAGCGTTCGGGCTCTTCTGTTAATTAAAAACACTATTAACCTGGCGTTCGATCAACGGGGCGAGCCGAGAGAATCGGCAAACGAACCCCCATTGTCGGGAAATTAATTCGAACGTTGACCAGCTCGAATAATAATTGCGATCCGTTGTCTACCACTCTGAAATTTTCACTTTGTCCGCCGTTTGAACTGTTGACTGGCCGGCAAACACCGATTGTTAACTTCTTTTTTGTCTGTTCGCAGAGCCAGTGTCTCGCTGAGCCCATCCAGCCCCGATCCTGGTGAGTGTTTTGGATTTAAACATTACGCGACCCGGCGTCGTATCGTTCCTTACTTAACTACGCCCGGAACTGCCGTTAAGCGAATATTTTACTACGCCGGGATATATTCTCTTATTTGAGGATTTACGATCCGGCCGTACGCTTCGCGCCATCCCCGGATGTTTACGAGGGGAATTGTTTACGCGAAATCGTATCCAGTGATACATTAGCCCGGGAGACTCTATGGTCTATGAAACAGATTTTTGGAAGCATTCTTTTACGATCCACTAACGCGCACTCGTTACCGTCTTGCCGAGATGAAACGTTGAGCAACGGGTTATTTCATTGTGGTTTCTTGCTGTTTTTTTCATTTGCGTCCGTTAATGGATTAAATTGTAGCGTACGATAATGGAATTCGGACGATTAATTGAATGGAAAATTTCGGAGATTGTTTTAGTGAGTTTTTAAATTATTTTTGTCGACAGTTGTTGAAATATTTTCAGATTTTCACGTGTGTTTTGCGAACGTTTTCGAAGCAGTATTGAATTTTTGTTGTAATGTTTATAGAAGTTCCGATTCACGCGCGACGATTTTCGTCAACAAGGGTCGAATCGACTCCCTTCGTTCATAATTCTACGATATTACGACTAAGTTTCACGTGTTTATAGCAATCATGAGAAATGCATGGCGGACTTCAATAAAAGCTTCGGCTATTCCGGATTGTTAAATGAAAACTTTATGCCGCGTTAAAATTAAACGAGAAAACTTCGACGATAAAGTAAACGGCGTTTGTGTTACATGAATATAAAATGATTGTTATTGGTCAAAATGGACCCAGCGTTCACCGATTCGTTCGACCGTGTTACGATGGGACATTCGAGGATTGAACTTTTGTTCGGAATTTCGACCGTCGATCGATTTATCGCACTACCATTCTTTCTTTTAAATAACTCATCACTTGAATTTGCCACTGAAACTTACTCATTACCATAAATCATTAACAATTCTTTCAAATAACATCAATTCGATGGAATAATTGTTCATTTCCTTTTACTTAATCAAATATAATTTTTCTTAGATCTAATGAAATACCACTATAAGTTACCTGAATAGTACACTAACAATAATTTACATAAAGAATAATAGTATCAATATTAACAAACTTAGCAGTCAACCAGCCAGTGGTTAAGTTAGAAAATTTTCGTCGGCAATATTTTGTAAGTCTGTAGAAAAAATAACTTTATTTATCAACATTTTTGTATGATCTCAAATTTAAGCTACTATCGCCAGCGACATCAGTATAAATTTATAAAGAAATTAATAATCGTTATGATTAGTAACGACTTAAATCCACAACAAAGTGTCACCGCGTATTTTTACCCGACCGACCGGTTAAACGTTAATAAATAAAAAAAATAGTCAAAAATCGTTCCCATATACCACTTTTCACTAAGAACCAAGTTTCGAAAGAGTCTACAACGAACAAAAAAGTCTTGTCTACCCGAAATTAAATACTTTCTTTCCTTTCACGAACCCGGCGCAGCGATTCAGCAGAATTCCGCGAGCACGATACCGATTCTCGTCAGATGCGGCGCGCGATTTCCCGTGACGGGAAAATTACCGTCTGGAGGAACAGAAGAATTCGATTCCGATCTCGATGTACGCGTTGCCCGTTGTTACGCGTCGATAACACGGGGCATAGTTTCTGACGTGACAGAAATCGATCGTTCCTCTCACGGCTGCCGGGCTGTTCTCGGGGTCTGGTCGGCCCAGTCAGAAATTCTCCGGAAATGACTGTTCCTCGTGTATGTTCCGGCAGTCAGCCGCGAGATTTATCGCGAATTTTCGTGCCTCGATCTCGACGCCGCCGGTCCAAGGCGTTCGCACGCGTCCAACCTGGCCGGTCGATGCAGTTCCGTGCGTTGCCGCGGTTCGATGGGCTTCAACGATAAAGACCGAGCTTTCTACCGGTCATGAGCAACTCGTTCGTTACTCTACTGCCTCTAAATCACAGTAACTGACCGGTTCTTGAGCCGTTTATCGGGTGATCCTTTTGTTTTCGAGAACCTGGACGAATCTTGATTGAAAGGGTAATAATATTGGGAATTTTTATACAGCTGTCTGTACTTTCTTCTGCTAATATTGTTGGTTCTTAGTGTTGTATTATTGATATTGTACTATTGATTTAAACGAAAAGAAATTCACAATGATTCAGGCGGAAGATTAACTGTTTTGTAAAAAATTTGCGAAGATTTTAACTGAATTTTAATATTTCTGTGAAGCAAGTCATCTTTCATTATGTCTTAAAGAATTTTTATATAATTTTTATGTGCATCTTTTCGTTTAGTTTTCACTGATATAAACTGTAAGTCATCTTTTACAATAATCGTAATTCAGCTGTATTAAAAAAATCTTTTGTTCAAATTTTTGTAAGTCTCAAAATGAATTTTCTGAAATTCTTTATCGTGCAGCTTGTGACGTGAATGTGGATCGCGGTAACATAGAGGTGATCCCGAGAATGATCCAAGGAATCGGACGACCTCGTACATCACGTGTGACGCGGCGCAACTCTCCATTTTAGCGGGGACAATGCGCATTATGTAGCCCGTCCCAGCGGGACGCGAGCTGATTTTATTGCTCCGCATAAATCTACTTTCGTCGATGCGTATATTGACGATAAATCACGCGGCGCGATGAAAGGGAGGGTTCAAGGGTCCGTCGTGTGCGGCGGTGACGGTAAGACGCGTGAAAAATGCTTAGTTGACAGAGGCTCCCGACCTAACTAGCTGAAATTGATTTTCTTTATCGTAGTCTAGATGAAAAAAGGGCTTGCGCCTTGTGCACGCCATTTATAGACTCTGGGTACACCGGGTGGAGGGTAAATATGTTACTGGGGTAATGTGTTTGTGTCTCGTCCATTCATCCCTTCGCGAGTAATAGCGCGAGTCCCTTATTATCATTATTAATCGACAATATAATATAACTTTTACCGCGTTATAAAAATAATGGAAGAAAATGAGAATATGTGGAACAGTCGATACTAATGAATAAAAAAAGAAAACTAGAATGAATTGATTCACAGATCAAAGAATGGAAGAAAGCACTGTGAAGTAATCGGAGAAAGCAGTTACAATGTTTTCCATTTAAAAAAATTACCGGCATTAACAGACTTTAATTCACAATAATTTCAAATGCTTAATATCTCCAACACTTAACAACATTCTCTTCGAGACAAAATAAACCCAACTCCAATATAAAAATGTAAACTTACAACGTTAAAAAGACTAAAGAAAAATATTAAGAAATCGAAAATAAAAGAAAATCAAACTAAAAACAATCCAAAAATATCGAGCAACAAAAAGAACCAGAATCGAAAGCGAACATTGAAAAAGGTAGAAAATGTCGAGCAACCAGACGCAACCCCCATGTGTCGCCGGGGTAGCAGCTAGGGGCGCGACGCATCGTTCTCCCGGCACTTTATTATTTATTAGCAGGAGGAACAGCGAGACGAGGGTCAAATCTCGTCGAAAATATCCACGGATTGAAGAGCACTGCAGTAAACGCGAAGGGTGCGCGCACACAACCTCTTCCCCCTCGTTTTCCACCGTCCGCCCGCTTTCGCCGCAGTTTCCATCCCTTATCCAACGTCGTATTGTGCGTGTCCCATTGTGTCTAGTCCACAAGAGCGTATTCGCGTTTTTCCCCTATCTTCCGCTACTCCCCATTTTCCGCTGCACCGCCGCCACTTTTTTCCTCCGCCGTCACCCCACCCCCTCGCATTTCTTCTTCCGTTCTTCTGCTCTTCTTCGCCTTGTTTATCCTTTGTCGGACACGCCGGACCCGCTTCCACCGTGATCCATCTATGTTTCTTCCTTTTTATGCCATTACGCCCTTTTTTCCGACTCTGATCCCTTCCTTGCCCCCTGGCTTCTTTGATCTCTATCTCAACCCCTTGTAAACTTTGTTTCTCCTGGTTCCTACAATATTTTTCTAGAGTTTTCTAAAGATATTAATGGCACTTACATTAATAACAGATTGATTGAAAGATGATTTTCGATTGTAACTGCATCTTCGTGGAAATTATTATTTCTTCAATTTTGTAGACTTTGTTTAATCAATTTAATCAATTCATCCTTTTGAAACCGGAGGTCCAGTTGTTATTGCGTTACCTTTTTGTAAACAAGATTATTTCAACTATGCTATAAATTATCTATACTCCAGAAACATCTTTTGTCATTCAATTTTCCTATTAATCCAATATTTAAATTTAATATAACTCCACCCCTTTAGGTCCACTTTGTCATAGCCCTTTTCTTCCCATTTTTCCTACCACAACCACTCTCTATTCTCCATTGACAACTCAGCATTTCCTTTGTTTAACTCCCTACATCTATCTTTCCTACCGTTCTTTTTATCCCCTGATTCTTCAGCTTTTTCTATTCCAAGATTCTCCACATGCACTATCTTCGACCTCTCCATACCAACCACCGGTGAATGTTTTTTCCCCACTCCGATCCTTCGCTACCCAAACCCTGTCCCCCTTTTCCACCTGTTTCCCCGCTGCGCTGCTCCCCGATAAGT